TGATTGGCCCGCTTTACTCAATAATTACTCCTTTATTATAAATAATAGAAAAAAATGGTTCAGGACTTTTCGACTCAGTTTTATTCCTTCTATCTGCCTACGAGAGATTGTACGGCTATTCTGGGACACCCTGTATATTAGGTCTACCGGAAAGTTCTGTCCGTTTTTGGAATAAAACAAAATACAAATTTTCCTTAAACTTTATTAAATAATATAATTGCCGTTATTATTAATGATTTCTTGCCAGCGTGAGAGCAATTTGTATATCTCAATTTTGAAAAATTAAGAAAAATTTTATGTATTTTGTTTTATTCCAAGAACAGACAGAACTTTCCGGTAGACCTAATATCGACAAGTATATAAAATTGCATCATCAGAGCTGCTGCGGATACGAAATAATCTTTCTACGAAAACGCAATCAATAATACATAATATGAACGCAATTTTTTCGTTCTTTTTTTTATCTTCTCTGAAAAAAATCCTTCTTAAAATGTTTAGGATTGATATGTTTATGAATTATTTTCATTTTTTTTAACGAAAACCAGCCATTCGCTCGAAATGCGTGTTGTTAAATTTCTTGGTAGGCGAACTTCAAATGAGATTGTCATTAAGCGGAATTTCGGTAAAGCGTAATCAGTAAATCTTAAAGAACAAAGTTGGCGGAAAATTAACCGAAAACAAAAAAAAAACAAACAAACAAACAAAGCTTCATCACTTACCTGCCTCTCTGAAGCGCGCGTTTTAGTTTTAGTGTGAAATATCTGTGTAATTGGACTTCTCCCTTGGAAACTCGCAAACAACTAGCCTCACTCACCGGAACATAAAAATAACAAGAAATAATCAACGGTTATCATGCATATGCATGAACTTAAATTGCCATTTGAAGCGGAGCGAGCGAAATAATTCCGCGAGTTTCGTTTTTCGAGCCCGTCGACAGGAACGTTGGGAGAATCGCGGGGATTTCTCTTATATTAGGATGTGTCGTTTCCGCGCCAACGTGGCGGAAACGCGTAACATGTGCCCGTCGAAACTGAAATATAAACTTAATTAAGTCGGAATCCAACTCTCTCTCTCGCGACTTGCTTTAAGCGGGTTCGCCAACCCGAGAAGAAGATTCCGCATTTGAAGCGCGACGACCGTGTCACAACAAGAGCGGCGGTCCTGGCAAGAGATGTGGTGTTGGAGAACTCGAGAGAGAGAAAGAGAGAGAGAGTAGGTGTGCACAGGGAGTGACGTCGTGTATTATACAACGTGGAGGTAGTTTATTTTGCGTCGTTGCGCCTCTTTCGCCACTTGCATCCAGAGCGCGGTCGTGGTTAGTCGGAAAGTCTCGTCGTCGTCTCTCTCGTCCCGCCGTTTCTCGTTCGGAGTCGCCGAAAGAAGCTCTCCTCTCTCCAACCGGTTTCGAGGCGAACTCCGAGGGATTAACTCCGCGGCGCGCAAACAAAAACTGGCGGAAGCGTGTGCGAGCTCGCCGCCTCGCGCGCCCTTTTTACTGCGCGTCGCCTCCACGGGTGTTTAGGGGAGGCTCGTCGAGGCGAGACCGCGAAGATATATCACCCGAAACAGGTTCTCTTCTCCTTCTCCTTGTCTCTTTTTCTTCTTCAGTCGGAGAGAACTTCTTGGTTGTCTCGTTTTCACTAAGCTGTCGAGTGTTCGCGCAACAACTCTCGCTCTCAATCAAAACTTCTTACAGTAAATACGTAGACGAGGAGACTGATTTTTACAATATTTGATCTTGACAGGAAAATGATTATATAATCGCACACGGCAGATACGAAAAGAACAAATTGATCGATAGTGTAAGATGTATCCGACTTCTCAATTAAATTAATACTGTAGGCGCGTGGGTAAAATACTTTTCGGCACTGAGCGGTTTACACAGAGAAAAATGCTTGGTACTTACGATTATAATTGGATAGTAAAATAATTATAAAATTGGAATTCTTATTTTTATCATTAATATTGCTATAATATTAGTAAAACTAACCTTATATACATGGTTTTGACAAGTATGTATAAATTTTGCTATAAATTATAATAATTTTAAATAGTAACATAGTCAAATGTCAAATAACAGATGGTAAATAAAATACACATTTTTAAGTAATAATTACAATCACATAATTATAGTAAATGTGACTATACTGTTGACATCAGCTTTACTATTTACTGGTAATAATAACTAAAAAATAAGTAAAGAAAGTAACTTAAGACATACATTTTTATGACTACATTAATAGTCTGGTTAACTATATTTTTAACTA